GTATTATTGGTATCTGTGATGCTGGTACCGTTTTGTTGTCATTGTGTAGCTTTTGTGGAGTTATTATGAATATCAAATACATGTCTTGAAATATGGACTTGTGAAAGAACTCATCATTGAATCATTTGCATTTAAATTAATGCATATACCATTTACTTGGCGTGTATGGACAAATTATCCATCTACTTATACACACTTATTATTGACATTACAGAATTTCATTGTACCTTATTATTTAAAAAAATACCCTGGAAGATCCGGGTTAGAATAGGCATTCAACAACCCATGCTTGTACGAAGGCGACTTGGCTCGCTGACTTGGTTGATGCATGTCATCGTATCCCAAATGCGTAGATCGGTGCTCTTGATGATAATAACTAAATTGTTTGGTCCAGACTGGATTATTTACGAACCACTGTCATATAGCTGGTATATTGCTGAGTGCAGTGTTAAACAACAAACAATCAAACAAAATCTATATAATTATTAAACACCTTCCAACAATGAGAAATTAAACTTATATTTTCTAAATATTCTGTTATATTTATAACATAATTTGATTCATAATTTAATTATTGCGTTGCTTTCTTCCCTGTCATTCAATGTGCATGTTCAAACCCCTAAACTTTTAATATTTCATTTTTCATAAATGGCTACGTTAGTGCGTTGTCTAGATCTCTCGTTACCTACTCACAAGAATAGATTAAAATAATTTGTTTTACTATCATATTTCTGTTTATCTAATTCATAATACGAAATTGATAATTCATTTATCATAGAATAGATCATATTCGTGTATATAACTATCTGATGCTAAGGTTTTATTTCAGAAAATATAATTAATTCAAAATGTAGAAAGATACACAATTTGCCATTATTTGACTTTTAAACTGTACAAAGTATGATATAATGATCAGAATGCCTGTAACGGGTAGTATTTAAGAAAGAAATATTTGTCGAGAAGTCCCATTTTTCAGATATGCCCTTCAGTAGTATTATTGTATATCTCCAGAGAGAGGTTTACATTGTAGTTCTTATTATTTGTGGATAATTCAAAACGCAACATAGAAAATATATATGCTACCATGACGAAAGAATACAGAGTATACATAACTAGCAATTCTATATATTCAGCAAACAGCCCAAAACCGAAACTCCACAACATATCCGATTACACTGATTAAGGCTGCCCCAGTTCTCCATGCGATACTGACGCCCGTTCGTCTCCCAGACCATACAGAATAAATTTAAAAGGAATCCAGCTTAAGTCTAGAACGATTTGGCAAGCCTAGATTGCCTTAATTCTATCCATGAAAGTAAGCATTAATAAAAAAATATTGTTCTTGTCTGCTTCAGATTATATTTTGTAGATACTTATTTTAACTAGGAAAATTGTACTGACACCGGCGCTGTCCCTATTGAAGCTATTTATAAGAATTTCGAATTGCCGTCCATTGTTCGATGTCAGTACATCGATGACAAGTGAGGATATCATAAAGTAATCGTTGATGCCGCGCTACACTTTGATAAAATTATAATCAAGTTGACTGGTGTGTACATTACTACAGTGAACATGTACATGATCATACCCTAATAATCAAATGCCGTAATGTCAAATACTAATTTATTATTGTGTGATGAATTTAACTGGATCAGTTGTAACATGTGATGTTAATATTCCATCAATTTCTTTCCTGGTTGGTCCATCCATGTCTACAAAATGAAAACAATACAATTAAAATGGAGCGTAGAACAATTCTTAATTTCAGGCTAGAGCTGTGGAAATCTAGACTTTCCCAATCATTATAGACTTGAGTTGATCTCATGTTTTACTTTATTCTCTTGGGTCAACGTCACAGCTCATACCATACACTAACAAGACCAGTTTGACCCCCGCCGGAGCTGCCGGATTTTGGTTATATCATCTAACATGGCCAACTCTGCTCTTAAGAAGAACCTAATCAGCGAGGGGTCCTTTATCATCCCTATGTGGCTGCTTATAAAAATCTGATATCTTTTCCCAAAGACCTGGTAAATAATATATTTTCTGCTGAATATTCGAAACAAATAGAGTGAGTTGGTACTACATGTACATATGTATACGGTTCTATTTTAAATGACTGCAGCGCTCCATTATGAAAACAATTTGTTTTAACGCCGCTCTCAGCAGTATTCCAGTGATACATGACGGCGGTCTGTTGTATATGAAATATATGCAAATTGAATCTTGAATCTTTAAATTTCCGCAAATAAGTATCACATGCAGTATACAGTATATCAAATGCAATATACTGTATACAACATTCAGTATGTCGTGTGTCGCGAACTCTGCGCTGGGCTGGAGCACACATTTCCTACACCTCTCCCCTTCGGCAAACACATCACGAGGGTTGCAACGAGGTCACAGGTCAGGCGTGCACTCGTCAGTTGTCTAATACGGTCAAGAGTAAGATCTTCCGGAAGACCACTGCACTGGAGGTATGTGGATTATTGAGGAGGTACTACGTGTTTGGAACTGGGAGTTGAACACTAAGCACTTTTAGAGAAGAGCTCACAATAAAACGTTAAGGACTCGCGGACGGACTTGTGTTTTCATTTCAAGACGTACATTTATCAGGTTGAACTTCCTAACTGTAACAATAACTGAACTTTACGCCAATTATACACATTTGTGATGGGGCGACAATGCGACTACGAGACATATTTTGACCTTGAAAATGTCGCGTTACGGCATCGTCGCCCTTTTGTAAAATAAAGAAAAGGATTTTCAAAGAGCGACAATGCGAACACGCGACAATGCGACAAATGGCCAATTGTCGCGCTTTTGTTAATTTTGACACGTTTTGCTTGTTTTTGTAAAGGCGTCAATGCGACAACGAGACAATGTCCCTTCCACAGTAATCCGTGCAAATAAAACTGAGTTATGAAATAGAAGTCTGACATGCTAGTTAAATATAAAAGATAGAGTGTTGCATAGATCTTCAAGAAGGGTTATCAATAATGGGATGGGTGATGAGTTCAACTGCATACGCTGTGATTAACAATAAAGCTCCGAGTCAATACACATTTTGTCAAATGTATGACATGTATTACGTGAATGAAGATATTGTTTATACTCGTCCATGTTTTTGACGGACAAAATAATTTACATGCTCGGTAAAAGTGAGGACGGGCATCATTGTGTGTTTCCGTGCTTTGTTCAGGTGAACAATTGACTTGTCCTTGCATGTGTTTGTGACGGGTGCCACTTGTGTGGCAGGATACGCTCACCTTGTCCCGAACACCCATTGGATGACCTCAACCACTTCGGATTTTTATCCCACATCAGTCTGATACACCATGATATAACTGAAATACTGAAATACTGTACAGTTAAAAAAGATGTTTAATGCGATTACCGTAGTGTGTTACTGCAACTGTTCATATTTTGTGCAGTGATGTTATGTAATATGTAAAAGAAAGCATATTCAATTATCCAATTGATTTGAATAGAATATACTTGCGTCAGTGTATTTTATTAACGCCCCAAATCGTAATTTAAACACATAAAATAACAGATCACGCATGGTGCCTTGACTTACTACTAGATTTAATGGGCCACCCCGGAATAAAATAGTTCCCCCCAAAGCGAGGAACATATGTTTTAGTATGTTTACAAGAAATATATTCCAAACAATATCCTCATTGGATGAGAAGATCTTTTACAGAATTACCTCAGTAAGTCAATTACAATGACAGAGCGTTGTAATACATTTACATCAAGTACAATACGTCAAAATGGCCGACACGATAAACGTGACGGGAGATATTTCCGAAGTTGTTAATTAACCTGTGGCTATTTCAAGCCTTTGACATCACTGATCAATTGGCCGATCATTGAAAGGTGATTGTGAAGATGTGTCAAATAGATACTAAGGTAAATTCATAGATTTCTGTAAATTGTCACTGCGACAGTTTGGATTTTTTTTCGTGTTTTTTCTCTCTGGGATGGGTTGTAGCGAGGGTATCCTTAAATGGGCTTGCAACCACGCTTCTGTATGAATTCGTACCAGGAAATTCCAAGGGTTTTCCCCAGGAATGTGGAAGTAGTCAGTGTTTGCGCCTTTTCAAGAATACAGTCACGTGAAGAACGTCATGTGACCGACCTCGCGTCCAAGTCGTATATCTTGTAAACTTCACATTTAAATATGAGTTATTGTTATAACCAACTGAAACACAACCCATTATCCGAAAGGGGTAACTGTACATAGCCGTTACCACAATAAACTTAGTAACATTGTTTGGTTTGACTTCTTGGCGCGTGTCTGAATTCCATTAACATGTTACATATCCTAAAACTGGCTTATCAGCAAATCTCGCTGCACTGCGCGCGACAGATACTAGAGCAAGGCATGCCAGAAATACGAAACCTAAAGCTTCCGAAAGGAAGCCTTGGACATCTCGTGCGTCGGGGGACCAGCGCCATCTGATTGGCCGTTAACAGTTGTACAAGGCGGAGCAAAAAGCATCGTTTTTCCGTCCATTTTACGCTTGAAAAACTCGACCCTTTTCTGGACACTTTCTAGACGCGGACCAATTAATCAATTTTAATGAATTTTTAGTCGTTTTTCCGTCCAATGACCATATACGGAAAAAAAAGACGTTTTCGTGTTTGCAGTGTGTATAACTTGCTGTTCTGTAATCACATGAAATTTTGTATAAATGTTACACCATGAATAACTTATAAAACCACTTGCTGTGGACCTAATTATTATTTGAAAACTTAGTATAAATGTATATTTTTTTAATAATATCAACACCTCAATTGTGCACAAATTAAGTCAACTGTTATTTAAACAATTGTGATATGATTATAAATGTAAATGTTCTCATTATAATAACACAAAACAACAGGCTTGTTGAAATTGAAAAGAACATTTATGTGAAAATTACAATTAAAACTTTAATATTTTCTGTTTCAGGGAGATTTATGACACAGCCATGTCAGATCGACATCCTCAACCAGAAGGAGCCAACATGTATTCCAAGGAGCCAGATGTCACAGGGTCCCTCACTTCACCAACCGTGGAAACTCTGTTGAAGCAAAAATTAAAGCTTGAAATTGAATGCCTCACTTTGAAAAAGGAATACCTTAAATTGAAAATCACGAAACTGAATTAGCTAAAAGTATCATACATGTTGTTTGGGCATTAAAGAATTATTTATATATTTGAATATTTAATGTCACAATACATACTACCGGTAAGCCCAATGTTATGATACAACAGATTCTGGTAGAAAGACCATTGTGGAACATTTTTGAGAAATAGTACATTCACTACATTGCATTTAGAATATTGTATATTTAAGAGGGTGAGGGATAATAAAGATGATTAAAAACTAAAGATACTTTGCAAAGAATGTACTGCTGATACAAATTGGATTTATTATGAGAAAATGTTGGAAATTAAAATAAAATAATCTTACATGGAAAGTTGGTATTGGCAAAGTGCTCCCGGTATCTGAGTGCAGCTACTGGTGGAGCAGTCACTGCTTGAGCTCCATTCTTCCCATCAAGCCTGCCAAGTCCATCATGCCCATCAGTGGGTGGAACTGGGATATTTCTGTCCTTGCAAATATTGTGTAGGACAGCACATGCTATTATCACCTAAAATATGAAATCATTAATGATAAATTAACATCATTACACTTAACATTTAGGCTTTTACCTGGCCTCAGTTGAACATACAAATATTACTGTAAATAACGAATAAGTTCATACAACCCCATCATTTCCCTTATCTGCTCCTAGTCATTACCAATCTACAACTGCCCTGTTATTGCCTTAAATACAAAACTGTATATATATATTCACTTGATTTAGATACAAGTCAATCTGAACATGTTCATGTCCATGTACAAACTTTAATAGATGGTGAGCCACTGCATTGTTCTTTTCATATTCTCAATGGCATTTGTTAACATAAATTCAAACAACCATGTTTGAAATAATTATGTAACTCAATAAAATCTTATTGCTTTTTTCAATCATTGCTTTCCTCTCTAGGAATTGTTATTTTATATATTTATTGTCATTTAGCCTTGTTACATTTTTGTTCTGTTGAACTTATTTGTGTGGCAAATAAATAGTGCACACAAATTAACATTTGTTGATCATAATTTTTACCTTACAAGCCTTCTCAGGTTTTAACCTGATTTCCCCATGGAGAACAGGAAATCTGCGTTTGAGTTGACTGATGGCCCTCTCAACGGTGCTCCTGGTTCTTTTGTGTGACCTGAAAATAACATAACATATCAGAGTGTAACCTGTAACATTAATCTTCAACAGGGTTTAAGAAATATATATTTATCTTTTTATTGATAAATGTCACTTGTTGAAGAAATAATTTTGATCATGGGAAAACAATAATTTACACTTTGGATTATGTAGGAAATTCATACCGGTAATGTTTAAAAAAAATATTCCTAATTACCACAAATATTCAGCATGTTTACCAAAACAGCACATGATAACTTGTATATTTAGAACAACTAACAAAGACATAATAATAGATGTTGAAATAAAAACACATGGTTATGGTGTGAATAATATTCCGTATTTTATTAAGAATGTTTTTGTAATTTTTGTAATTGCTTCGATTATCCAGACCAAATATTTTGTGCTCTATGAAAGAAAGAGGGGCAAATATGTAATCGAGGCAAATACAAGGGACATCACTCTAAGTTGTTGATTACGCTCGGAAACGTAAAACGAAACTTTACATACCTGTTGTAGTTTGTTTGTGGTCCCGGCAATGGTCTTAGGAAAGGGGTAAGTAGCCACTTCTTGCAGGGATAACCACTGTCACCGAGAAGGTGACATCCGATGGGGAGAACATTGCGCTCGGGAAAGCTGGTAGAGCCCGCTGTTTGTCAACATGCGTGAATCGTGTGTCGATCCCGGCCACCGAGCAACAACGTCAATGACTCTGTCGTCGCTGTCAAAAGCGATCTGCGTATTTATGCTATGATAGTGATGTCGGTTTACGTATTCATTTTCGTTTACTGTTGGTGCCTGGATTTGTACGTGGGTTCCATCGATCACCCCGACAACTCCGGGAAAGTTCGCAATGTGATAAAAGTTTGTTTGGTGACGCCTAATGTCCCCGAGTTGCATGGGGAAGCGGACAAACTGTTTCACAATCCTTTCAGATGACAAACTGGTGATACACTGATTTACAACTCTGGAAATGGTGGGCTGGGTGACACCTTGATCATCTGCATTACACAACTGAAACTTTCCCGTTGCAAAGTACCTTAATGTGATCAGCGTCTTTCGTATCTCGTCAAGTGCGTGGTTACGGTTGGTTGCAGGCTCCACGTCAGCTGCTATTAAATTAGCTACGTACCTAATGCCATTTCCATCTAAACGGTATCGCCGTATCAACTCCTCATCGTTGTATTCAACAAGACTTTGTCTTCTTTGATGAAACGAACGACGACCTAGCGGTACGGCAGCCATTTTGTTTACTGACGCCTACCCCTACCCAGTCTTAAGAATTAGGTCAGAAATTGGTAAAACTTAAGCCTAAGTCGCTTCATGAGTATGACTTAAGTAAAATCTTAAAACTTAAGTCAGAAAAGGTAAAAAACTTAGTTTTTTTCAAGACTTAAGTTTTTTTTCAGACTTAAGTTCTTTTATGAATACCGCCCCTGGTCTTCTTGGTCGGATACCAGCCTTGCGAAGATGGTTCCTGACAGTCTGGTCCGATATCCTCCTCAAACCAGGGATGCTTCCTGCAGTCTCCATAGCTGTCGCATTGCGATGACGTAGGTGGAACAGTCGAATGTAGCGATCCTGTGCAGGGGTGGTAACTCTTGGTCGGCCGGTTCTCGGACGGTCTGCAAAAGAATTGAACTATGTGTATCAGTCACAAAGGCGGCAAATGGTGCTGTGGTGGACGTTGAAGTGGCATGCAACAGAAGACTCCCCTCTTTGGATACGTCCTATGGCGATGTTCTGATCGACAACAGTGAGTCTCGGCATATTCGAACTTGAAACTTGACAATTGAATGACAAATTATTGGCTTATACTTGCCTTTTCATAGCCACTACCACGAGTTACGAATGCCATAACTTGCTTTTGCTTTATAGTTGGGGCCCTTAGGGATATTTTGGTGCAGATTCTTGCAAAAGCACCAAATTTGGTACAGATGTTGGTTATACCATACTAATTCGATATCTGCCGGGCCCCACGAAGGGCGAGGTCCGGGGCCGCTATTTTGGCTAAAAACAAAATGGCCGCCACCATGATTGGCGGTCGATCATTGGTCAATAACTAATCGGCCTAGAATCACATGTAATACCACTTTTTAGGGGTATTTTGGGTCAGGGAATCCAATTATGATATTATTTCAATGATTCGAGGTCAAGGTCAATCACCAAGGTTTCTTAAAGGTCAACCAGGGTCAAAACCTAGTAATGGGGAGCTTAGGGGACATTTTGGATCACATTACCCTTTAAAATGAACTAAAATTTATCGAGCTGTCGATGTAACAATGCCATTTGTATTTATGGCGGGAGTTATGAAGGGCGGCCATATTGGCTAAATCCAAAATGGCCGCCATCCGGATCAGGGTCAGTCATAGGTCAAAAACTAGAAGGCCTAGATTCATATGTGATACCACTTTTTATAGGTTATTGAGGTCAGTGAATTCAATTCTGGTATTATTTCACTGATTTAAGGGCAAGGCCACCCCTCAAGGTCACTTTTGAGGCAATTTTAGGATCATTTCCGGGTGAGATTCAGTACATGAAAACAAATCAGTCATTTTAAACGATATCCCAACCAAATTTCAAAACAAAGAATGATATAAACAACTTGTTTATTAACAACCTTTTATCAGACATTACACTAAGTTCTCAGACATTACACTATCAGAGTACATTGTATACATTTAATGGTGAGAATTAACCTATTTTTTTATCTGTCTCTTATGTTTAGTCACTTCCCTCGACATTATTATTGCAACCTCCCTCGCATTTACAAAGAGATGTGCATCGTACTCCAGCACGGTAGCATTTACATCGTCCGGCGCATGCCTTTATGCAGCCACAATGTAAAAGGATTGCACATGCATTTGACGCATCACTCAGTGTCGTCCACAGCGGATGCCATGAGTTGCCATCAGTCTTGTGCCATCCCCATTCGCTGAAGTCAGGGATATCCTGCTGTGCCAGATTGGCCTGGCTCCAGTAGAAGCATGCTTGTAGAAGTGCTCGTTTAACATGTTGTAATAGAGCGGCTTGGGTCGGTGGCAGACTTTCTAGGGATTTGGTCCCACTGGTGAATAGTGTATGCCTGGCGTCATTAACCCGAGCAACTCCACATCCCTTGCTATACATCAAGACGGTGAATCGTTCAATGACCTTCATGTGTGCTGACTCGAGACTGAATAGCGTAGGTTCAGCTGCCAGAGCCAATAATGTTTGGGTCAGCTCTGGACAGCTGTTCCAGGCTGCCCATGCAGTTTTCTTACCACATCCAAGGAATTGTGATGTTGTATCACATCCTGTAAGGCTGTGAAACAGTGGTAATGCCAGGGACGCAGACATACCTAGATCTGATGAGATCTGGTGGATAGGAATGTCACGGTAGTTTTTTCCACTTCCAAATCCAACCCAGAGCTCTGAGAAACCAAGGGTGGCGAAGAATCTGAGGGTGAGGACGACGATGTCACTGTCAACGGTGCGCACAAAAGCGATTTTGTGCCCCTGTTGAGCAGCATGCATGAGATGTAATATGATTCGCGTGTCGGCCTCGGAATGGTTGCATGGCGTTAGTCCGGTGATTTCGGAGTCGCTAGTGTTCGTGAGGACAGTTTCAAAGTGGGTTGTGATGAGATTTACTCCGGCCATGTCATCAATCTTACATATCTCTCTGCTGATGAAAGAGAACAATTCCTTTTTGTTCGCAACATTTTTCAGGAAACCGCTATTCCAATCCCGCTTTGGGACTGGAGACTTGCCATCACCAATTCTCGTTCGTGGGCCGTTTCCACGTCGCTGTTGTGTGAGACCTTTCAGGTTATTGTCCTCTGGATATGTATCCCATACAGCATCAATGCGTTGGACACTAGTACCGTTAACTTGTGACTTCAAGAACGGAATGATGTGGAATGACACATACTCATTAAACGTCTTTGCTCTTGTGGGACGAACTAGATGAATCACTGCAGCCATATCAAGGACAGCAACCGTTGCTTGTTTGACAGCATCTGCACGGCCAGTTGGTACATTGATACATTGAAGAATATCTGACTTTGTTCCAGATCTTAGTGATCCTCGATCTGCCAAGCTTGGTGGTTCTCGCTGATTTTCAAACTGAAAGAATTCCCGGATATCGGCATCGGGTCGCGACTGCAGTGACAGAAAAAGCTGTGTGACTAGGGTCATGTTTTGCTTCTGCGTGCTGTTATCTCGCTTGCCTGTTTTCTTGAGATCAGGCCGGTTGGCAAATGTTAACATGCTGTTTCGCTTGATGATATCGAACACAGGTACTGAAGTTTCTTCCAGCCTTTCCGAGACATATGTTGCATGAAGCACTTGACCTGTTTCGTGCATTTGTGCCAGTGAGGTGGCGACGGCTGGATGACCTTTAATGGACCTTGGTGATTGACATTGACCTCAAATCATTGAAATAATATCAGAATCGGTTTCCTTGGCCCAAAATACCCCTAAAAAGTGGTATTACATGTGATTCTAGGCCAAATAGTTATTGATATATGATCGACCGCCAATCCTAGTGGCGGCCATTTTGTTTTTAGCCAAAATGGCGGCCCCGGACCTCGCCCTTCTTGGGGCCCGGCAGAAATCGAATTAGTATGGTATAACCAAGATCTGTACCAAATTTGGTGCTTTTGCAAGAATCTGCACCAAACAGCCCCAAAATCCCCCTAAGGGCCCTAACTATTACTGTTTTCCTCCATGACATAGGAGTTTTCAATATTGTGAAACTTGTTCCCGCAGTACATAAGCACGCGCTTTGGTATTACATAATGTGTAATAAATACTACTGTATGTTTATAAGACGGGTGATGTATTTACGGGCGTGTAATACATTGAAATTTGTAATACTATTCAATATATCATTGTCATATGCAAGGCGTGGGAAGTGATATGGAAAATACGCAAAGTATTTACGCACTAATTGTCCGAGCTATACTATGTTTTCATATCTGCTTCATATTCAGGGCTTCATATTATTAGCTTTGTGTCTCTTTTGATGTTCTAGTTCTTCTTCTGCCTATGGTTGTTTCGCTTTAAGTGTACGCTGATCAACAAATAACATATATTTGTCACATGTTATTGAAACAC